TATGGAGATGCACAAAAATTGTAGAGGTATATCTGTTTATTTGATCTTCAAGTTAGGGAGAGACTCATTTAAATGGATTAAACTACTGCATGCCGTAGTCTTCATTATTTTCCCTTCTATGGATGCTTCTCCTTAGCTGTTCTTTAGAGCTCGTGGTATGTCATAGACTTCAATTACAACGCTATATTTATGATGAAATGGCGAAGGCCTTGTTACAATGTTGAGAATTCCAAATTCCGACACTGAACTTCTCAATCACGGAATTCATCCAGTAGTTTTTCGTAAATTTTTTTTCAGATGAGAAACAATAGCTCGTATCTTGTCCTCCAATGGCAATATTGTGCAACGAAAGTGCCGCGGTCTAGGCACCTACCACAAATAATAATTAGTCGAAGCTGACAATGAAAAGATATGTTCGTGGTTTATTAGGCAATAATGAATAAACAGATTCAAGGAAGCGACACTGTTTTATGTAATTAGCTCAACCATCAACGTTTGGTTTTTGGAATAAAGGAAATATTTTTTGAATAATTTTAACCTTTCACAGGCCACTTGAATGACAGGTAGAATTTTCATTTGAGTCGTGAAATTTCTATCTTATATTCAATTACAGTTTCATGTGTATTTTCTCACACCGTGTAATGATTTGAAGTAAAGTTCATTTCACTCTGTTAAATATCTTCTTTATATTAACATTCTAATAGTGAAACGGATTCAAATTAAAATGAAAGAATTATCCTAAAATTGATCTTAGACACATTGCAAAGGAAGAATGTTTCCTTACTCTGTTAACAGCCCAGCAAATATAAAATATTGAATATGAATAAGTAAAAACAACTGTACTTTCTCAATATTTAAACCTTATTCAAAAACCTTAATTCTGACAGATTATCTCCTCATTTTATTATAATACTTGCAAAATATCCCCAAATTTCATGCATTTTGGTCAAGCAATTTCAGAGCTACCTGATTTCTTCCAGGGAAAAATCCCCCCAATAAACTGAATTAATTGTATCCTTTTCTTCTTCTTGACAGAAGGGTGCCTTTCGAGTACAGCAGCATCACCAGTTGGTGGCATCATGACTTGTGATACAGATCTCACATAATTCTTCTTTTGGAACTCGACTTTTCGGTTAGTCTTTTGGGTTTTGAGTTCACATCTCGTCGAATCTTCGACAAATTTCAGGTGCTCGATATCCAAATTTATTGCTTGTTTTTCAGATTCGCGTTCTTTTAGTTGATTCAATTCTCTTTTAGTCTGTTCAAGCTCTTGTTGCAAGGAAGAGAGACAACTAGCCATTAACATGCTTTCTTCGTGTGCCCTTTCGAGGTTATTCTTCATCTCCTCTAGCTCAGCCTTCATGGTTCCAACCCTGGAAGGGACGTATTCTCTTGTTCCGTCCTGCATCTATTAACAAATAACATAATATTTCAAGATATACCGCTACTACTCGAATGTAGGCCTTCTATAACAGCTAAAGTGGGTAAAAAGTTGTCACTTAGTGTCACACAAAGTTAGAATACTAGAAATGAAGTTTTCCGTGACTTTTATTATGACCACAATGAAATGTCAACAGCTATGTAGTTAGAATCAATTATTTTGTCCAATCATGTCTAATCTAATGTACAAAATACACATTTAAGCCTTGTAACTTAAACACATATGCTAAGCCACATTGGAACATCATGAGCACAAAAGAAACTTCATTATCAACTTTTGAAGTTAATAATGTTGTTGTGGGCAAAAGGTTTTCTGATTCATTGCCAATTAATATTAAATGATTGTTGAAAAAGGTAAAACGTATAATTTTTATTTATTCAAATGATTAAAGATATACTATACCCAGAAATGGCATTTCTTGACAAGAAGCAAAGTGATTGATTCTCCACTAAAGCTTAAGATATACGGATACGGTATATGGTATAGTGTTATGTTGTAATTTTGCAGTCTATCTTTGTTATATTCATACATATACAAGAATATTATATATAAATATTTAGATAGATAGTTATTATGCAATATTCGACTGGACAACAAAAGAAAAAAGAAATTACAATCTTGTTTATTATAATATTTAGGATGGTACAGCACTGAACATGATATACAATGTGGTTCTTTCTTTCATTGATTCATTACTCGTTTTAATAATTTGTAAAACAGAATCCATATCTGAAGATCTTATTTTGAAATTATCTAAATACAAACAGCTTGTTATTAAAAAAAAAATCATTTCAAATTATGCTTGCAAAAAAATTGTAAAAAAAAAAACTACAGAAAAGCACATCCAGCTGGGGTAACATAATCTTTTGCAAATGATGTTTTCCTCTTGTTCAAACCTAAAATCTTTCGGTGTGTGTTTAATATGTAACATATTAGATTTTAGCGTACAATATAATTGACGTGATGATGTTTGTCTGTCCTTAGTACACTTGAGTATAGTGTCTAAGCCACATTAACAAACATGCTAACAAAGTATAGAGCCAAAGCAATTCAAGTCGATATGAAGACTTATTATTAGAATCCCTCTCGAAGAAGACTTATTGGAACATCTCATGTCTTGACCTTAGTCTTAGGGTTCGAACCCTCAACCCTCTCATCATTTTCCCTCTTTGGCCATGGGTGCTATCACTCTCGAACATGAACTCTTATACAATAAAAATAGAAGCATACAGATGAATAGAATAAGAACTAATATGAAACTGCATTTAAAGAGAAAAAAAAACTGCATGCATGAGTAGTCACCTCTTTAAGATTATTGACATAAACTTCTCCAGCAAGAACTTTCTCTCCGAATAAAACCACAGCCTCCTTAACTGAACGGAAGGGTGCAGTTGTGTCAATTTCTGCACCTTTTTTCATCATCATCCCTTTATCACTGTCCATTTTCTGATCAAATATTACAAGCCAAATGAGTACAAATACTTGCTTTTGAATCTGCAGTGTGAGAGAGAAGTGTGTGTAGAGTTGGTTTGTAAGAGGGAGGTTCTTTTCTTCGCGTCCACTTCACTGGAATTCTGTTGCTGTCTGATTGAAGGAGAAGCTGCTGGTTTGATGGGCTCTTGGTGGTTTTGATGGGCCTATTTTGGAATGTTGATGGACTAAAAGGTCGACCAACTTAATTATGTAAATTTATATTGTTATTTAATTTGGATTGTAAAAAATATATTTTTAAAATTTTACTACGTTCAGTATGTAATTAATTACCAAAATTGACAGATTTCGTTACATGGATGATGAAGTTCATGACCTAGTCAAGAAATTTGTCACCTGGTAGACAAAATGGTCCAATGTACACATCATCGTCATAGAAGATTCACCTTTTATAACATTCACTTTCACATCTCTCTCACATAGGGGGTGAGACCAGCATTTTTAAAAATAGCGGGCTCCATCCCTTATGTGAGATTGATGTGAACCAAGATGTGTACATTTAGTATTTTTGAAAAAAAAGAAAAAAGAAAAAAGGTTCGTTCGTGAATTTCATTAATTTTGATGGTTACAAATGAAATAGATAAATCAAAATAAAAATATAAGTTGAATGATTTAATTATAACATATTGAAGTTGGGTGAACTACTGCCGAAGTTACCCTTCCACTTTAGACCCTTCAATTTTATATAAAAAATTGATACAAATAAAACTAATGAAGCCAGTTAACGATTTTGCGATTCTTTTTGGTAGATTCACCTTTCTTTTTGAAGCTTATGTTTCTTTACTTTTTCTTTCCCAACTTTTACGGAAGGAAAATACAGCACATAATACTTTTCCTTGTTCTTGGATAACCTTAAATCTTTTTTGTTGTTGGATAACCTTAAATCTTTTTCGTGTTTTTTGTTAAGGAATAAAATCTCATATCGAATAAAGATGAAAAATATAGACTAATTTATAAAAATTTAGACTACTCTTCTTAATAAGGTTGACGTTTTACCCTCGCAAGATGGTGACTCGTTCGAGCAGACCAATTTTGAAGTCCCTGTACTCAATTTTTTTTGAGTCGTAATCGAATCGTATTGTTCGTTAGAGCTTAATAGACTCTGATACCATATTAAAATTTGAGATTTCATCTTCAAATGGTAATCTTATTAAGAGGAGTAGCCCAAACTCTTATAAATTAATTTATGTTTTTCATCTTTATTCGATTTAAGATTTTATTCCATAACATTTTTAACCAATTTATACTCACTTGTCCCTAACCCAGTAACTGTATTGAGAGTCAAGAATGGCTTTTACTCTCCTGTAATCAAGCCACACCTTCGAAGTCTCAGACCAGTGGGATGGTGGTAGAAAGGATAACCTTGAATCTTTCTCGCCTCTTTAACCAATTTGTACTTATCGTCCCTAACCCAATAATTGTATTGAGAGTCGAGAAGGACTTTTACTCTCTTTCAGTCGAGGCACACCTTCGAAGTCTCGGACCAATGGGGTGGTGGTAGTCTGGTAGAAGGGATCACCTTGAATCTTTCTCACCTCTTTACCCAATTTGCACTTACTCATCCGTAACCCAATAATGGATTAGGAGTCAAGAAGGGCTTTTACTCCCTTTCAGTTGAGGCACACCTTCGAAACCTTTGACCAATGAGATGGCGGTAGAAAGGATAACTTGAATAACGTCTGTACAGAAAATTATCCATTAACAAGTTGGTCATTTCTTATGTAAAATACTTTACACTGACATTTCTTCAACTTGGCCTGCTTCAATGTAAAAAAGATTTGTTATAATAATATCGCTAACAATTGTTCAAAATTTGAACGAACAAATTCAACGAACCTCATAATTTATCGTTCAACCTTGTTCACCATAAAATGCGATGATACATTGTTAAGAATGTCAGCACAAAGCAAACTAATTCACCAATAATGTGAGAGATCTGAGTACTACAAAACCTTAAAACACTGCTAACTAATTCAAATTACACTACAAAATCCTAACGATTATCCCTTTTCCAAGAGAGACTTATTCATCAATTCAATACAAATGAGATCAATACCTCGTTATAATTCTAGATATCGTGCCCATACTTCGAGTTTGAAGCAGCCAACAACGCGGCTCCAATTCCTGACCCGTCCTTTGAGTGTTCAATTACTATATTTCTCGAGATTTCAGGTCCGAGAAGCTCTGTTACAGCTTCTTGGAGGTATCTTCTATACTGGGGGTAATGCTCATATAAGCCTCCATCCATTGCCACTACAGTCCTCTTTCCAAAGATGAGGCCTTTTGAATCGAGTTCCATCTTCTGGAGAATCCCGACTATTCCTGCACCTGCCAAGCGCCCACCACGTTTTGCAATGGTATCACACACATCTATAACAATCTTCCTCGCGTTTGTACTGGAATTCACCTGAGATCAAGATTGGGAAGCATAAAATTATGATAACGTTGGCACATGACTTTTGTCCAATTTTTTCTTGCTTAAAACACAAAAAACTGATGTTTATTCCTGATAAATTTGAGGTGAGCTACATAAATCCTCTCCGCCATTCATAACCATTGTAACTAGATCTTTAGCAGCCTTGTGAGGAAGCCCTCGATTTTGGGTTTAGAAAACAATAAAGAGAGTAATGACACGAGGAATTTATGTGGTACAGGCTTGACATACATCCGCAGACGGAGACAAGAATAACTTCATTAACAAAAACAGGATGCTTCAAGTAAGAGAAACGGATAATGAAATGGGATGCACTTGGAATCTCGACTTCTTGCATTTTCACTCTTGTGAATTGAAAGAGAAGGATACACTAACATAAAGGGATGCGTTGAGGAAGAAAGTTACCCCAGCAACATCATAGAGGACAGATCCAACTTCTTCAAGATCTTTGGACGTATCCTGCTGCATAGCACATATATCCGGGGTCCTACAATGTACCATTTAAGAGTGAATAAACTTGATAAGTGTCTTGTTTTTCAAGAATTAGCTATTATGGATTTATAAGATAGCAATTCAATGAGAAAGAAGGAATGTAAATCCTAAGACGGCTTTATACATTGAATAACATGTGAGTCTATGAAAATTATAATCAGAAAAAAAAAATTGTAAATCCTAAGATGGCTGTATACTTTGTGGCGACTGATGCATTACCTTTCTTGTCCTTCTGCTTCACTATATTATTACAAGAGTTAATATCACGTATTTTCCTAAGCAAATTAAATTACAAACAAAGAAAATATAATATAGGTCTGTACAGGTGAATAGAATGCCAAAAGCTTCTGCCAAGCCAGATCAAATCAGCATAAACTAATTAATAAAGATTTGAATGCTTGTACATTATGGCCTTGAACAGTTACCATGGTAAGCAGATTTTGTCGGAGTTAGCAAACATCACACATGATGTAGATATGAAAATATATCATAAGGCAATGAGAAAGAATTAGATTCGGGATTGATTTACAAATGAATTGTTTGAGTGGCACACTCATTCATGGAAGATAGCATTTCAATTGCAAACAGTAGAGAGAAACATGGCATACTCCTACTCAATTTTATTCAAAATGCATTTTAGAGCAAGTTTAGCTAATCATAAAAATGAGTAAAATTTAAGTAACTTTTTTGTGTCTTACTTCTAAGTCAAAAAAGCAATCTACCTGAGAGAAAATGGCATCAGTAATTTTTCGGGCACTGAGTGACCAAATAAGTCAGCAGCTTCAGCCATTCTGAGCAGCACTCTTCTTACAATCTCACCAAGATACATACCAGAAATTGTCTTCTCAAATATCTGTTTCCATTTAATATAGCCATTGTGAAGTTGAGTTACTATATGAGTAGAATACTAAGCATGTGTAATAAACACTAACATATAACAAATAATTAATTTGAAGATACCTGTTCGCAGGGATTGATACTCTCAGCATCCATTTGTTGGTCGAACTCAGTCAAAGGGAGGCCATTAGAGAATGCTCCCCATTCAGTGTTCACAATCTGAAAATCCATTTACAATATCAAATTATAAATAAAAAACAATTTACAAAATCTCGAGTAAATCAGTAAGAAGCTCTACAAACTGTTCTTCCAGATGTTGAACTTGGATCCTGAAGTTTAGGAATAGCATCTACACGTTCGACGTAGCACGCATTGGTTCCGGTTCCTAATATAACAGCAACCATGACATCATCATCCCAGTATCTAGATCCGGCTAATGTCCCCACCGTATCATTGACCTAACTTGACAAAACACATTATCATCAGAAACCTTTGGGTTGTCCAAACTAAGGAATTGCAGATTCTGAAGAGCCCTAATTTCATAATTAGAACGCCAGTGATAAAGCAAGAATCTACACTGGAAGATCGTGCTTGGCTTTGTTTGAAAAAAAAAAAAAAAAGAAGTTGCATATACAATTTATTTTTTTTACTTTTTAATAAAAAAAGTTAATTATTTTTTCAAAATTAGACCAATAAAAAATTATATTTTGAGACAAGACTTATAATAATCTCTAAAGATTGAGATGAGTGTACCAGGGCAGACACTCGCATATCTAGTTCCTGCCTTTTCATAGCTTCGTTCAAGCAAGCAACTACATCTTTCCCTGCCTGTAAAGAGAAATATATTTCTTGAGGTGTTAAAATCAAAAGAAAATTGTAATAAACAAAATGCAATGCAAAAGAAATAAGTATATAAAATGAAAACATTCTCAGAATCTTTTATCTTCTTTAGAGGATGCTATGATGCCTTCTCCCAAGAGACAGGAATTTCGAACTCCTCGTCTCAAACAATATTAACAAGTCCAGAAAATACAATCATTACTGATTTTTCCGTGGAATGAAATGCAGGCAAAGTATAAAATGTTTTATTAGTTATGGACTTGTGGCAGCCGAAGTACAACCCATGACACTATAAAAAAATGTTTTGATATGCCTAGCTGAAGTGATATGATTTAGAAGCTTTAAATTTTAATAAAATGAAGAAAATACTAACAGTTCCAGATACAGCAAAACCCTTTGTCCATTTGATTAGGATGCCTGAATCAATAGAGGTCTGCTTCACCGGGAAAGAAAATGTGAATCCTATTTCCCTTGTCTTTCCCTGCTGCAGATGAAACTTTCCGCCTTCTTTTTGTGCGAATTTTGCAAGTCCAGAAGCAATGAAATCGAAAAGCTCCTAAAAGTTGCAAATATATATATATATATATATCAACAGACAAATACATCGGAGATAAACTAGAATTGGCCAAGACTGATGTTACTAAATTTACCTCGGTGGTGCCAAACATTAACTCAGGCGGGATAGAAACTTGCTCGAATTCTGTGGAAATTACGCGTTCTTCCTTTCCTCCTAATTGCACTCTTAGCACTCGGAAATTCGTACCACCAAGATCCAGAGCATAAAACAATCCCTTCTCGTTTCTTAAAGGGCATAACAATCAAACTTCATCAATCTCAATTTCACAGCATTATGTCATTTAACCATCATCCATGATTCAGAAAAATGCTATTATCAAACACACCTTCTTTATTTGTGCTCACTATACCGTCAGTATTTTTGACGAAAAAATTTAAATGAATAAATATGTCCGTCTCTAACAAATTTTAGACGAGGTAGACAAACGTCTGATTGGGCGGGGTTCGAAGTTCAAGTTTCACCACTTTCCATTTATGGATATTTTGCACATGTTATGACTTTTCAGTTTTGGATATTGTGCACGTGTTATGACTTTGATGGAAAACCATGAGGCGTTGAGGGGCTTGTTCAAAACAAAATTAACAATAAATAAATATTTTCCCTCTTAAACTTTTGGATGAGGTGATTCAACACGTAATTTGTTTCGCATCATTCAATATTCGGCTACTTGATCCATCCACTTAATTCTACAATGTCGATGTTAATTATTAGAATCTCACATTGTTTGGGAAAATATAAATGATCTACTTAATAAGGTGAGGGCAATCCTCTCCTAATAAGTCGGTTTTATTAGGTGGAGTTAGGCTCAATATTCCTAACATGATATCAGAGTTAAGCCCAATTATGCAATGTCGGGTGTCACCTAATATCGATTTGTTCACAATTGTTTTGCATGGTCCACGCTGTGCGTGAGGGGGCGTATTAGAATCCCACATTGATTGGGAAAATATAAATGATCCACTTAATGAGGCGAGAGCAATCCTCCCTTAATAAGCCGATTTTATTAGGTGGAGTTAGACTCAATATTCCTAACATTAATTACTCTAGCTTTAAAGCTACTTTTTTCTTAAGTATGGTATCACAAACTTTCAATATATTATAAGTACCTCTGTATCTACTTTAAGCATGGCCTAAAATCATTTCACCAATAAATTAAAAGAAAAATAAGAGGGAGAAAAAAAGAAATCAATGCAAACTGGTAAATACAACATTACAAAAATTAAATAGAAAACGAAAACAACTTAAAATTAAATTAAAAATAAGAAATCACAATGCACAAACTATACCCGGTGGGTAGTGCATCAACATAGCTAAGAATCATCTTGAGATCACTACCACCCTCAACGGCAAGCCCGGCCCGCATATCATCAGCCATGGCATCCACCACGTGGCGCAAAACTGGCAAAGGAGTAGCACAGTCTTTCTGTAACTTTGTTAAAATTGACGCTCCAGAAATGGTGTTAGATCCCACGGCCATTACAACTCTTGGCCGTGAAACCATTTTAGCTGATCGTGTGATGCAGAATGATCCGACGGCCGGTGAGACGGCGATGACTGACATTGTGGGTTGTCGGTAAGATCAAGAAATAAGCTAAAAGAAGACAAAAAAAAGCTGGTGAGCTAACGTGAAGCTTTATGGGTTTAGACCCACAATCTTTATTTTGTTGATGGGTAGTTTGAAAAGTTGGATTTGTAGAAAAATAAACATAAAAAATAGAAATTAAATATTTGTTGGAGACGAAGAAAGGAGCCGCCCTTTGTTAACAATCCAAGTGGTCGTTAATTCTTACATTACATTGTTGATTTTTTTTATGTTTTCTTGAATATTTTGAATGAAAGAAATTGTAGAAGATCGGACAAGTTGAGCGGAGTAGACGATGTTGATGCAGCATATTTAGTTTGAGATTCTATAGTTACATTTTAAATATTAAAACTATGTCTACATGTGGTCCCAATTGGCGTTGGAACAAAATATTAAAATTAAAAAACGTTTGTTCAATAGAAATAAAAAAATCGCAAAAAGTCAAAAGTAACAAAACGGAGGAATTTTCACCCACTAACGAGTCCATATCTTCACATGCTCTAAACGCTACTCACTCATTGAACATCTACAAGTAGGTATTGCTCAAACCACTAAAATTAGCCAAGAACAATGCATAAAAATGTATGAAGAAATTACGGGTTTCTACACTATTTTACTCTTGCCTCACACATACAAGTTCACCACAGTAAACCACACTCTCTCACAAATATATACTCGTTACATCAAGAAACGCATTCAAGATTTACAGAGAATGAAAAACGGAATCGTGAGAAAATAAAGAGCCAGAAAACTCTAAAGTCGTACGCACAAATCTAAAAAGAGACCAAAGAGTGCATTTTGTATGGCAACTCAAAAGTAAAATCCAATTCCCACAAATGCACCAAGTGTAAGGTCACAGATCACCACAAGAAGACTAAAAAGGTCGGATTATTCTAGTTGTACATAGATATACACATAAAGCTTCACATAATGTGAGTGGGGTGGGCTCACGATACTATAGCATGGGCCCCACCCCCACTCACATTATGTGAACCTCTATGTGTACCTCTATGTACCCATAGCATGACTCAAAAAGGTGTTTCCACAATGCGATTTTACAAGTACAGGACCAACCGGATCATAGCAAATAAGCCCAAGTCAAATGGCCCAAGAATAGTGAGGCAGCCCAAAAACTAACAATCTACACCTAAATGAACTATTTTTGGCTTCATTTAATTCACTTAAGCTCTGTTTGAGCCACATTATTTTTTTCATTTTCATTATTCTACTCATTTTTAACCACACATTTTTCAATAAAATAATATTTTTCATCACATCAATAACGTTTTTTTCAACCACATATTCTCCATCGCATCAACAATAAAAATGTATTCTTTTTCCAAAAATGTGCACCAAATGGGGGCTTAAACAAGATAACTTATTTTACTTTATCAAACCAGTCAAATACAAAAAGAATTGAAGTTAGTAAAAATTTTCAAAATAAAGATGCTTGACTTTCTAAATATACTACATTTGAAAAAATACTTAGAATCTTCAAGCAGTTTTTAAATTTTTTTAAGGGAAGTACCTTGGTACTAAGATCAAAAGAATTAAATTCAGTAAAAATCTTAACTAGTGCGATCATACCTTTTTCTACCATGTTCTTTACAAAATGAGATTTTATATCAACGTGTTTGGTTCTATAACGATATGTAGAATTCTTACTAAGGTGAATATAACTTTGGTTATCAGTATAGAATTTGATTATTTCATACTACAATTAAGGTATTAATGAAAATTGATTGCCAACAACTACATGTAGGAATTTCTAAGAGAAACTAGTACACACTCATTAAGATTTACAATTGTCATAAATTATGGGCAGCGTTTAGGCCATAAAGGTACAATAAGACCTTAAACAATCACACCAATTATTTGTCAAATTAAATTTGAGCTGTGACTTGGTGGTTGGATAGTAAATCACCATAGTTGCTTCCATCTAAGAAGTTCATTATAAATAACATGGCATCACTTCATTATGAATTACACTTAAACACTTCATAAGCTTTGCGACACTGTATACTACTCACATACACAAACAATTTCACCTATTGCGTTACATTCTCCATAATGGGTTCGTCCACGAGAAGCAACGAACTGTTCAACCTGAATGAGCCTATGCCAATACCTGGTTCGTCCTCATTATTTTCCATCATAATTTCGTCGAATGATGAGGAAGTCAACCCCCGGAATGGTAAGAGAGCCATTTTCACTGTCCTTTTCCCAATTTTGATGAAGTTGCAAGTGAAGCACCACAGTACCAAAGAATGTGGTCGATAAGGGGTTCCAATTCATGGTTCCGTACGAAAGATGAATCCGATGACGATGAGTGGTTGGCAAACATTGCAGCTCCTGAGATAATTGTCATAAGGTCGGATGATTCTAATGAAGACAGTGGAGGATAAATTTCAAACGTCGACAACGAATGAGGTGGGTTATAATTGCATATAGTTGTATACAAAGAAATAAGTGTGTAGTTCTTTTGTTTTGTTTTGTTAGGGATGAATTTGATAACGGTCTTTACCAAATAGTCAGCAACAGTATGTCCCTTATGTATCGTATGTGTAGTTACAATTTGTAGTCCGTGCCAACTGTCAAGAACGATAAAACAATCTGTCGGGAATGACAGATTAACTGTCGGGATGTTATGCAATATTATGTCTATGGATCCGTATTTTAATTGTGAACTTAAGTATGTCTTCTACTGTCTGCAGAAGATAATAATAATAATAATAATAATAATAATAATAATAATAATAATATAAGTTGAAAATAATAATGCAAGTTGAGAATGTGTTGGGGAACACCACGCTACTTCGAGAATGACAAAATTCATCTGTCGGGATCAACAGTTTAAGTATCGGGATGTTGTGTAGCTTTCTCGACATGAGGATCCGTAATTTTTATGCCAACATAATGACCAATAACATCTGCAAACGATAATGAAAAGAAAATGATAATATAATTTCGGATTGTACAACGTCATGGTGGAAACATTTAGCTTACAACTTTAACCACTTCCTGAGATAAAGCTTGGTTACGTTAGTTGTGTTACAGTGGGGTTCGATTATGTGGTTCGATTATGACCAACTCTACCACGATGAGTGCATTTCCTGAGTCATGTAGTAGACTCGTATCTGGATCAACACTAAAATGGAAGTGGTTTTGTCCCCCCTTCACTTTCACTTGTCATCCACATGAAGAAATTCTTCCTCATATGATACGATGAATCTCAAATGATTACTCGTACCATGTTAGGATTGCAACGATAAGAATTTCGTACAATAAAAATGTCAACATTTAATAATATGAAAGTGGAGCTTTTGAATATTTAAATTCATACAGTAGCAAAATGTAAAATCAAGGGTTTCAACAGTTTTCAAGTGTCAAGTTCGACTGTTAAATTGTCTATCTCGACAGTTTCTAAATGTCGAGTTCGACAATTTATATGTCTAATCCGACTATTTCTAATGAACTATTCGACATTTGAACTATAAGAACTGTTAGGAAGCTTGAAAGCATGTATTTAGTATCTTGGAAGAAATTATTCAAGATATTAATGATGATAATAAATTCTCAACTATAACATGACAATATCTTCCGAAAAATAAATAATTCAATACTTCATTAAATATGAAATCTTTCACATTTTGTAAAAAATATTAGTATCTTTACCATTCAAAGATATTTCAAAAACCAAACAAATCAATGAATAATAGTTTCAAAAATTTCACCCATTACATTTCATCATGTTGTATTTAACATTTAAAAATAGTAAGATAAAAATATAAACAATTCGTAATGGCTAACCTCTCAAAATGGATGATGAATCCAATAGTAATGTGTTATTAATTAAGGAATGAAGAAGATGGAGAAGAAGTTAGGATTTGTTAATGGTAACAAGATATGTGTTTATGTTAACTTTTCAAATTCTTTTCTTTTTTCTTTTAACAAAATTCATATTACTCAATATAATATACATATATGCAATGTTTATAATATACAAACTAAATCATTACATCATAACATTAATGTCAATCAAATCAAGCATT